GAAACCACACTAAGATCTTAAAATCCTTGAGTCGGGCTTCCCTGGGGGCGCAGTGGTTGAGAGTCTGCCTGCCGATGCAGGGGACGCGGGTTCGTGCCCCGGTCCGGGAGGATCCCACGTGCAGCGGAGCGGCGGGGCCTGTGAGCCGTGGCTGCTGAGCCTGCGCGTCCGGAGCCTGTGCTCCGCGGCGGGAGAGGCCACAGCAGTGAGGGGCCCGCATACCGCAAAAAAAAAAAAAATCCTTAGAGTCAAGGCCAGATTCATTCTTAAAGAGGATATTTAAAGGGTGGAAGGAGGCTCGTTCAAAAGACGCTGTGGGACAAATACCAAACATTGTATGCTTTGTTGTTGCCAATTATACCAGAAACACCATTTACTGTATCAGCACCTTAATAAGGCACAGATAAGAACCTCTCCTGGTCTTGGTCCTAGAAATCTCATAATTAGGATGTCCTAGACAGTATTGGTTTATGCCTCCTGAACCATGTCTGTCCATTTAGCACTAATCTTGATGCTTTATCATTTAAAAGAAAATAACATTTAACTGTTGCATTATAATAATCTGGGATGGACTTGGCTACTGTCCACTTTTCACTTCCAACTTCTGCCATAGCTTGTCTCACAGCATGCAAGAAGCGTATGTAGTTAAATCTGAAGGGAGGGACTTCCCTGGCGGTCCAGTGGTTGAGACTTTGCCTTCCAATGCAGGGGGTGCAGGTTCAGTCCCTCGTCTGGGAGCTAGGATCCCACAGGCCTCGCGGCCATAAAACAGAAGCAATATTGTAACAAATTCAATAAAGACTCTAAAAAAAAAAAAAAAAATCTGAAGGGGGCCAACGGTAGCCTGTGTCTCTTTTCCAAATCTGATCTAACTGCTCAGTTTAACGGACAGCAAGCTGGTTGCCAACAGCTGTAAGCAGGTTGTGAGCTGACATAAAAGTCTGGGGTGGAGGAATCCTCCCACTCTTTGCTGCTGTCCCTGGTGCCTGCCCCATGTCAGCTCACCTCAGCCACTTGTGCATGGTCCTTTCTAAGGGGCCTGGGAGACACACAAGATCAGGTAGAAAAGTCAGAGGGAAACTTGGGAAACTAAAAGTGTAAGAAAAAATAACAAAGGCTAAGAAGATCTTGCTGTAGTGGCTTTGTGTGGACTAAATCTATAAGTATTTTATTGTTCGTAACTTGTTCTCTTTCTGCAATAACCACTTCCAGTGGAAATTATCTGAAAAAATACATTTTAATTAAAAAAATCAAGTCAGAACTGGCTTTTCATTTCTCAAGAAAGCAGACGATAAGTATGTAAAATACCATATTAAGAAAATATATATTTTTCAGAAAAATGCTAGACATGGATACTAATAAATGGATAAAATACAAATATATATATAATTATTCTGTTTTCTATTTTTAATATTCAAAGCAAGTAACGGCTGTAAAATTTCTTCCTTTAATAAATATGTATAGCTCACTTTTAGAAATAATTTTACTTCTGAAAATAGGTTCTGAATAGTCAATATAGCAATGTATCAATGCCAATTGGTATTCATTAAATATTTCATAAAATATACAATTTAATTTAATCACTCTCAAATAACAAGCAGTGGACAGTAAATTAGATATTACCCTTCTCATAATTTGTTTTTTTGCTCAACTCTATTATGTGATTTCTTTATATCTTCCCCCATTTAATTATTTAATCGATAAGATGTTAAATAATTATTATTTAATATTTATTTAATAGGTGCCTTTTTATGTCTGAAAGCTACCATTTATTAAAAGTTCAGGTTCTAAGAGCAATTCTACCACTAAAGACTTGTATTATTTGTAGTTTAACAAAATCAGCTTTTGGAACCTCACTTTTTTCACCAATAAAAATATTAGTTTACAATTAAAAGTTTTTAATTACTTCTAATTCTAAGCAGGTAACCTACATTCACTAATTATTTCCTACTTTCTCGGTATGATTTTTTTTTCATTGCTATAACAGAGTCTCCAGTATCCTTGTTTTTTGCAACTACTCGTTTTAAATTATGATTCAAATTTGCATTTTGATTCTCTCTATAAAGCTGCCATTGTTGAGGTGAGGGGTGGGTTTGGAGTGATGGTGGTGCATAGACAGGAAAGAAGTTTGAAAACTGCTTATGCCAGTGGAAAATTTCCTTCTTTGCCTCGAGCTTGAGGTTGTCTGAGGCATTATTTCCAAGTCTAGCACTAGTTTCCTGCCAGAGTCATTTAGAGCTCATAGCCATGTTTCTTTGAGAATTGTGATTCAAACTTTTTTTTACCTTAAGTTTCTTATGCATGTTAAAACCCAGGTTCTAAGTATGTATAATGTAGTAGTGGCTAGTGTTGAAGAGCTCGGATGTGTTCCTTAAAAGATATTGAGGTTTCCATGTAGAAGCAATACCCAAATTATGACTATTTAAATTATAAATGCATCCGTTGTGTGATTGAGAGGCAGGTCTTTTTAGACTTACCAACTCCACTCTCTGGGAAAAATCCCCACAATATCTGAGATGCAAATGACCTAGAATGATGCCATACATGACTAGTTTTCCACAATTTCTCTTCCCAGCCCACCCCTCCACCCTTATCCCCCAGGGCTTTCCCACAGGAAGCGTGACCTGGCGGGTCTGTTGTTGGTCCAGGCATCGTCTTTGGCAACTCCCTCTGCAAGTGCTTCCATGTAAGTGGTACCTGAACCTGATTTTGAAACCCACCACCCTGGAGATCAGAGTTGGGTTAAATACTGTCCATCTCTGTGGACACTGTTCTAAGGTTGATATTGGGAACTAGTATGATTCAAAATGTTCTTCATTTGAAAAAATTAAAAAACCTTTTCCTTTTAAAATAGCTAATTAAAACACAAAGGTTTATAGTGTAGCCTGTTCCTAAGCTAGAGATTGCCTGTAATATTCCCCTTCTGTTCCTCACTGGAGACTCGTTTGTTAGCCATATTTTAGTTATTTTTAAAAGGGTATATTTCTGCTGATTGGGTCGCTGACCCTTCAGTGAGTCATCAAAGGATGCTGGAGTCATCACTCACTGATGACCGTTTCCCTTTAAGATAGTTCTGCCTTCGGGGCTGAGCAAGAATGCATAAATTAAAAGTTACAGAGTGGGCTTCCCTGGTGGCGCAGTGGTTGAGAGTCCGCCTGCCAATGCAGGGGACACGGGTTCGTGCCCCGGCCCGGGAAGATCCCACATGCCGCGGAGCGGCTGGGCCCGTGAGCCATGGCCGCTGAGCCTGCGCGTCCGGAGCCTGTGCTCCGCAACGGGAGAGACCACAACAGTGAGAGGCCCGCGTACCGCAAAAAAAAAAAACAAAAAACAAAAAAAACGGTACTAGAGCAATAAAGTGAAAGGGACAGGAGAGTAGGAGGAATATTGTTTTGTTTTGTTTTTTTTATTCTGCTTGTTGATTCACTTTGTCTTAGACTGTGATGTTTAGGTATATAGCTACCAAGAAGGGCAATACAGAAAAAGAAAACAAGTGTATTAAGAAAGTGATACATAACTGGGTTTGTTCTGACCTTGTAGTACAGGAAGAGGAAGTAGATGCTGAAGATTTGCGTTCAAGTTGAGTATAAAATTTATTAGCACTGTGATACGGAGAAAAGGATCATTTTCATGGGCCTAAGTGCTCTCCTCTGTTTTCGATGCTCTATTTGTTTACAAAAAATTGGAAATAAAATAGTGACGTCTGAGGTAAAAGAACACAGTGTATTTATTTTTTTTAAGTGAAATGAACGCCTGGTAGCAGTTAGCGTCAGAGGGAGAAAATGAGGTCCATTCCCCACAAGGAGGTTTTGCCCTTGTATAACCAGAAGATTTTACCAGTCTGAGGATTTCAACACATTCAGTTACAGCTAACGTAACTTGGGAACTCACTCTGTCCTTCTTAAACAAATGCCACATTTTACCACTTTGGCCTCCATGAATAGAAACTCATTTTCTGTGTTTATGGCTTTTTATATATTGTTAGTATTTTGTTCCTCTATTTCTGAGAAGTTAAAAATGACTACTGGCTCAGGAAATAGCCAAGGCTTTACTGTGCTCCTCCAGCCCTCTTCAGGTAGGTGAGGGGAGACTAGGATGGTAAGAGGCTTAGGAGGGTGGAGTGGAAACCATCGAATTTTCCTAGTGCTGTTTCAAGTTTATTTGCCAAAAGCTCATAGGAAAAAAGTTTCCTTTCTATGTCCCTTTGTAAATATGCTTAGTCTTCTTTGCTTTACTAATGCCCTGGCTGAGCTAAAATACCACAATAAACAAGGAACACATGTAAGGGCTCCATAAACTCCAGACAATAACAACCACTGTGGCAGAGGTCGAAGAATGTGAACGGCAAAGCAGGCCAGGGCTGACTCTGCACAGGCCCCAGTGTGAGATGTGTGGTTTGTGGGTCCAGGTTTGTCTCTAATGTCCTGCTGAATATTGGGGTGTGTTGTGGCCGTATTTTTTTCTTTAGGGAACAACACCTAAGCTGCCACATTGCTGTGATGTATTTTTTTTTTTTTAATTTTTATTTTAGGCTGCGTTGGGTCTTCATTGCTGTGCATGGGTTTTCTCTAGCTGTGGCGAGCGGGGCCTACTCTTCGTTGCAGTGTGCAGGCTTCTCATTTTGGTGGCTTCTTTTGTTGTGGAGCACGGGTTCTAGGCACGCGGGCTTCAGTAGTTGTAGCATGCGGGCTCAGTAGTTGTAGCTCGCGGGCTCTAGAGCGCAGGCTCAGTAGTTGTGGTGCACGGGCTTAGTTGCTCCACGGCATGTGGGATCTTCCCGGACCAGGGCTCGAACCCGTGTCCCCTGCAATATCAGGTGGCTTCTTAACCCCTGCGCCACCAGGGAAGTCCCTGCCGTGATGTATTTTTGAAAGAATTTGAAGATATAACCAGGAGAGTGATTGAAATGATGTAGCATAGAATTGAACAGCACAGGAGGTGACCAGAAAGGGAACTGATATACGGGGAGAAGTTTTAAAGGCCCAGAAGAAAGGCCAAGAATGCCCATGGAAAAGGGTCAGGTCATCATGAGAGCACAAAGTGTTGAGATTTTGTCAGGAAATGGGGTGTTCACTTCTACTGTTTCCGAGGTGGATCTGTTCCAGTGTAGACGAAGTTCAGGGCATGGTAAGGCAGCAGATGAGCAAAGGGACATGGAGGTGGGAGTCTTTGGTGATGAAGAGGTTCAGAACCTGGGAAATAGAAGGCTGGATGGAGATCCTGAAGTCAGTCAGAGGATGGAGATGATGGACATGGAGATGACGTGGACCATGACTCCAAGGGCTCCTCAGGGACTGGGGAGGAGGGACCAGAAGATCAGGTAGGAGAGATGCAGACATGACCCCACGCTGCATCTCTCCCTGCATCCATGCCACTGGTGACTGTAGCCCTTCCCACCTTCCCAGGCAGAAGAGAAATCTCTTCCCTTCCCCTTGAATTTGTGTCGGTCTCATAACTTGCATCAGTGGACGTATGGAGTGTGGTGCAGTTGATGGTGTGGAGCCAAGGCCTCAAAACCCTTGACTGCTTCTTCCATTTGTTTCTCCTGGTTCTTCCCAGCTCCCCCCACCAGCCCAGGCTAGTCTGCTGCACTAGTCCACATGGAGCAGAAATACACTGTACCATCTGAGGTCGGCCTGGTCTAGTCATCCCTCAGGCACCCTCGCAGCAGGAAATGAGTCCAGCTGAGACCAGAAGAAAACCCCACGTGAGCACAGTCCAAGTCGCTGCCCTGCAGAAATATGAGTTGTGTAAATGAGTTTTGCTTTAAGCCACTAAGTTTTAGGTCAGTTGTTACGCAGAGAGAGCTAACGTGTAAAAATGACTGTGACAAGGAGAAACAGAAAACAGCAGAGCTGAATGGCATGAGCCTCAAAGAAGTCTTTTCAATAAAGATTATGACAGTCGGTTTAAAAGGTTTGGAGACGCGCTGTGCAATATTTGATGGCATTTTCTCCACCCCTTATGTGGGACACTAGTGGGAGTGTTATGAAAATAAAAAACTAATGTGTTACACAGATTCTGGGAACTCCAAATACATGTTCAGTTACACAATCACTCATTAAAATTTAAAACCAGTTCTCGTATTTTATATATGATTAGAGTGAGATTTATGAGAAAGGAAATAATTTACATTTAGCGACACCCAGCCCTTCATCTGACCTGGCCTCTGTGTCAGATCCCCTCCAATTAATTGTTCTTCTGATGCTGGCCACTCATAATGTGCCCCCCTCTTCTATTAGTACTAATCTCATTAACATTAGAAATCATGTCTTATCCTTCATTACCTCTCATAGTACCTAGTTCAGTGATGTACATATATGAGCATACTCAGTAAAATATTCATGGTTTACCTCTAAAATAAGCATGTAAGTAGTATTCACCTTAGAAGTAGGTTACAAATTAGAAAGTAGTGAAAATATTAGAAACAAACAAGATATTTTCAGTAAAAATCTTAAAACAACTATCCTATTATCCTTTTTGGTAGAACCGTTTTAGCATCAATGATGAAAGACAGGACATTGAGGACCTAGAAATTATTTCTACTTGATACATTTCATTCTCTAGAGTCCGTCATTCTCTATACAAGTTCCATATCAGGCCACTATATGGTACCTGAACTTTTCTCAGACTCTCTGATTATTAATGCAATTGTTTAAAATTAGCATAATTATGACCATTTTTCCTTTCAAAAATTTTTTTTCTATAACCTGTCTCTTCAACCTTGGCTTAATTTATCTTGGTTTGGGGATCCTGGGTTTATGCTGATTGACCAGTTTGTTCTGCAGAGCTGATCCAGTGTGTAACCTGAGAGTGAACCTGAGTCCTAATTATCCGTTTTTGTAAAAAGTTAATGCATACTCTCTTGTATGCAATGCACATCTGGACTTCACTGTGTGTTTTTCCAGGTACTGTATTACCTGAAGTCCATCTCTGAAATCTGTATCAGCAGGAACGAAAACACACAGGCTGGCCCTGGGTAAGTAAGTAGTGTTTGCGCACTAATGAGGGCTTTTCCACCCAGACCTGCTTTCCTGAATGCCTTCTTCCTGCGATGGTCTTAGGGCACATCCCTGTTGTAAATTCATGACAAAGTCTGGTCTTTGATTTTAGGAGAGTAGCTTCTTAGGAAAGTAAAGTATGGTTCCCCTCTGCCAGTGGAATAACTAGGAGACAGGACAGAGAAAAACAATGTGACAAGGGGCTAATCTGCAAGATGTCAGGATCTTGTGTTTTGACTCTTGGAAGAAAATTAGCAGTCGTCTGGACTGAATATGTTCTGCATGCAAATGCAGCAAGGTTCTCCCTTTAATTTGTTTGGAGAATTTCAAGAAATGCCAGTCTTCACTGACATGAATTCATAAGACTTGGCAGCGCATGCACTACTGTTCCTGCCAAAGAAGATTGTTTTTTCCCACTTTCCATTTTGGCCGCTGTTGTGTTGGATGGAGTGCGCCTCCCAGGAGCCAAGAGGGAGCTACAACCTGGAGGCTTTGTTTGAGCACTCAGAGCCCTTGGCCTTGGTCTGGCAGAGCCCTGCCTTCCTTCTGGGAGAGATTCAGCTAATGGAGAGCAGGAGATGAAAGGGAGAGAGCCGATCAAGGGGAAGACATTTGAGGGCTCTACTTAGCAACACTTTGGGGGAAAATGAATAACCAAAATGCTCCAGGGTACACTGAGCATTAAAACTGGGTAGTTTGTCTGCAAAAAAATGGCACAATTTACATGGACAGCTCTTCTGGGTTTTCACCTGTCCAAGCATTTTACACTTCCCTTCCACCAATATTTTTGTCTCAGATCCTTAGAACTCTATTGAACAGACTGTCATTTATTCTCATACAATTAATTTATTCATTAATGACCAACTCAGAATCTAGGCCTTAGTGTTTATGAGTTGATAAATCAGATGCAGATATCTGTAAGTGAAAGGTTTTAAATAACATTTTCCAAGGCAACAGCTTCTGAAGTTGAGCACAAGCGTTTCACCTTGGGATGTGCCACAAAGGGAGCCCAGAAAGCTAGCCATTTCACCACTTCTGCTCACGAGACGTGGTGCTTCTCACTCAGCCAGGCTTCTGCATTTTTTTTCTTGTTTTTTAAACTGAAGTATAGTTGATTTGCAATGTTGTATTAGTTTCAGGTGTACAGCACAGTGAATATATATTCTTTTCCCTTATAGGTTATTACAAAATATTGAGTATGGTTCCCTGTGCTATACAGTAGGACCTTGTTTATCTGTTTTATATATAGTAGTGTGTACATGTGAATCCCATTCTGCTAATTTATCCCTCCCTCTCCTTCCCCTTTGGTAACCATAAGTTTGTTTTCTATGTCTGTGGGTCTATTTCTGTTTTGTAAATAAGTTCATTTGTATTTTTTTCAGATTCCACATATAAGTGATGTCATATGATATTTGTCTTTCTCTGTCTGCCTTACTTAACCTAGTGTAATAATTGTTAGGTCTGTCCATGTTGCTGCAAATGGCATTATTTCATTCTTTTTTATGGCTGAGTAATATTCCATTATACATTATCCATTTAGGTTTCTTCCGTGTCTTAGCTATTGTAAATAGTGCTTCTATGAACTTTGGGGTGTATATTTTTAAATTATAGTTTTCTCTGGATATATGCCCAGGAGTGGGATTGCATGATCATATGGTAACTATGTTTTTAGTTTTTAAAGCAAGGCTTCTACTAACAGATGTTGATTGAGGAGCAAACTCATGTAAGTTGTAGGATCATATGAACCCTGATTTTAAAACTTCTTCAATGCTTGTTCAGATGTCAGATTTATAGATTCAGTTGTTATTATATTTGAAAAGTTTCAGAGATTATTTAAGTCTTCCTCTTCATTTCTTAAATTTATGTTTATTATTTATTTATCATGACCAAAAAATGCATAACTAAAATTCCCCTTCCCAGCAATTTCCAAGTGTGCATTACAAAACCTCCAATTACACACACACACCAGGTAGCAGACCCTAGAGTTGCCTCCGCCCTTCATGACTGGAACTTGACAGGAAGGAACAACTCCTCACCACCTCCTTCACCAGCTCCACTCCTCATTTTTCCAGAAAAGGATACCTAGGCTTATATGGGTTGGATCACAAACTCAGATTCCTGTATAGCTAATACAGACAGAGCTATTATTCAAATCAAAGCTTCTTGGCTCATCTAAAGTCACTATGGCACCCTTACAATAGGTCAGTAAAAGAACAGAAACGGGTTTCTCTCCATTCTGACACGAATGTAAGTTTTTGAAGGAGTTGGGTGAGTATATTGTGTGTGTGTGTGTGTGTGTGTGTGTGTTGTGTGTGTGGAGGGAAATGTCAGTTTGATATATCTGAATATAATCATGTGGAGTCAAGTGGAAAAGGAAAGTGAGTAAAAGGAAGGCAGGATGCAAGGCAGTGTGGTTAGTACACACCAGAGCTGTAGGAAATGCAAGTTTTTTTTTTTTCTCTTTCAAAGCACTGTGGCATCTTCACGGTGAAAAACATGATGAAAATTCAGGATCTCCTGATTGATAAATACTTATTGTATTTCCACTCAAGCAATGATGGAGTAGGGACTCACAAAGAAAAATATTCCCACCACCAAAGATCTAAGAATTCTGACTAAAATACCAAAAAGATAACTTTAAATATATAGCTGAGCACTTCAAAATGTTAGGAAAACATACAAGTCTCAAAACAAAGAGGGGGCTGCATATCAGTCTGCTAATGAGGCACTGAAACCACTTCTGCTGTGAGAAATTTTCCTGTTACCAGGTGCCGCACACTTCACTGACCACACAGGGAACAAGAGACAAACACTTGGTCCACATAATGGGTAGGGGGGAGCGGGGGCAGGGTGGTTTGTAACTGAGACTCTCATAGTATTGGAAGGCTCAGCAAACTAAACCCTCAATGGAAGGGCAAGGTAGAAAAATATTTTCTAAGCAAAGGAAGATTGGTTGATCTTCACCTTGATTCTGGTGTAAAACAAAAAACATTCTAGATGTCTGCTCTGAAAATTCACAATGACAGTTTTACTCTCACAAAGGTCTGAGATTCCAACCGTTACCACCTATGTGCTCTGGTAAACCTCCAGCCTAGAAATATATTTAATGTAGGCCAGGTGCAAGGTAGGAACACAGGGAAATTATCTCCATAGGTATCACTACCCCACCCAGACACTTCAAGATTCCACTTATCAAAGTCACACAAAAATAAGCTCCCGATTAAAAACTACAAGACACATGAAAGCAAGATACCACTAAGGAGAGACAGCCAAAAGACAAACAGAACCCCTCAAGGCTTCAGATGCTACAATTAGTGAA